AAATAAAGTTATTTAATTATAATTACCTTATAATTAATAAGTTTAATTACAATCTCAATGCATTATCTGTTGTAATAGATAACTCATCTGTTGAAAATAATTAAATAAATATGATTATTTGTTGCAATAAATATAGAAATCTATTACAATAAATGTCTAATATGTATTATCTGTTGCAATAAATGATCTATCTGTTGAATATAATCAAGCATCTATGCTCATCTGTTGCAATGGATAATTCTTCTGTTGCAATAGATGATCATCAGTTGCAACAGATTAGCATATATGTTTGATCATTTTCAACTGACTCTATATATTTGATATGAAATGTTCATCAACCTATTGCAACAGATTATAACTTAAAGCAACATATGTGTATATTTTCTTGATTATTTCCAATAGATGAGTCATCCCTTGCAACTGGTTATAACCTATTGCAATAAATGTTAATTGTTTTCATTATATGTGTCATTTCCGGCAACTTCTTCAACATATTAGACATTTGTTGTAACAGATTTCTATATTTGTTGCAACAGATGATCATATTTATTTGATTATTTTCAATAGATGGGTTATCTATTGCAACAAATAATAGCAATAGATAATGCATCTGATGCAACATATGCAAAGTTTATTGCAACGGATGAGCATAACTAATACATTTTATATAATAAATAGGAACATACATAATCAACCAAAATGAGTTAAAATTACCAAATTTATAACCAAGTACAAAATAGTTATTTCACTATTACAATAATTATGGAGCATTTCGAATCGGACATGTTGTTCTCTTATGGCCATTATTTTTACATATTGAACAATTATTCTTTCTTGTTGGAAATGATTTCCCGACTCCACGCCTCCTCTTCGTTCGCCTTCTTCTCGATTTGCTTGGGTCAACATATGGATGAGGTATTTTTCTCTCCAAAATCTCCAAAGGAACATTCCAAGAATCTTTAAGAGGTATCAGATTAATTTCCTCACAATATGCAATTATGTATTTTCCACCAAATAATATGAAGATGACTCACTTGTTGGATACATGCCCAGAACCAGAAGCTTATCCAACGTGTAAGTCAATTATTGTAACAGATGAGTCATTTGTTGCAACATGTAACTCATTTGTTGCAATTAAGGACTTACTTGTTGGGAAAAGCTTCTGATTCTTTCTCAGCTTGACCTGGTACTGTAATATATATATCCAACAAGTAAGTCATCTGTTGCAACAGATGAGTCATATGGTACAACAGATGACTCATATGTTGCAATAAATGACTTATCTGTTGGGACAAACTTTTGATTTTTTCCTAGCTTGGCCTGGTACTATAATATGTATCCAACAGGTAAGCCCTCTGTTGCAACAAATGAGTCATCTGGTGCAGCAGATGACTCATCGGTTGCAATAAATGACTTATCTGTTGGGACAAACTTTTGATTTTTTCCTAGCTTGGCCTGGTACTATAATATGTATCCAACAGGTAAGCCCTCTGTTGCAACAAATGAGTCATCTGGTGCAGCAGATGACTCATCGGTTGCAATAAATGACTTATCTGTTGGAACACGCTTTTAGTTCTATCCCAGCTTGGCATGGTACTTTAATATGTATCCAACAGGTAAGTTATATGTTGCAATAGATGACTTACCTGTTGGATACGCGACTGTAAATTATTGAAGAAACAATCAAAATACCCAAATGAGAAATTAGACTAAAAATCATTAGTTTACTTACCAAAATCACCTATGATGTAATGCCCAATGATATAGAAATGAAATTTTATCCGATAGCAGCAGTATCAATAATGTCAATGTCACGACTAACAACAGAAGAAAAAGAAGATGATGAACAAGAACAGGAAGAAGATGATGAAGAAGAAGAAGAGCAACAACAATGGAAGAATAGCAAGAGAGAAGGAAAAGGTCAGTTGTTGGTGCCCCATTTTTTCCCTCCATTTCTTATGGGCCAAAGTGTAAAATAAAAAACCTTGGGGATGAGAAATTCATTCCCTTAATCCTTAATTTAAAAGTTGTCACCCCTACTCAATAATTAAGACTTGAGTCACCTACACCTAATTTTAAAACTTTTCTATCACCCTTAATTCATTGTCCCAACTAACTTGATTCTGCAACTATACCCAGATGGAAATAATGAGATAAAATATCTAATTAACTCATTACCGACTATAACTAATTTGGAAGCAATGTGAATAGTCTCAACACCTATAGTACCTCAAGTCTTGAATGGTAGCCCTAGAATGATCAATATGAAGATAAATTGACTTTCTTCTTAAAGTGTCTTTACCCATTTGATGATAAATCCTATCCTGTTACAATCCAAAAAGGAGAATGACAACAGGAAACTTCGAATAAGTTAAACTGAGGCATATTATCAAACAACTTGGATGCACAATCCACTTTAAATTTAAGGATCTTTAAAATTTTAGATTTTTGTAAGACGTCTAACTTTATAGAAATAATAAATTGATTACAAGGACAAAATTCATCAAAGAAACACAAAACATGTGCGCATCAGGCAATTAAACATGCATGTAGAAATCTTAGCTAGAAATTGTATGCAAAAAATAAGAAACTAAGATACACATACCAAATTATGATTCCTATATTCAAAAGTTATATTAAGAAAAATCCAACCTATATTCATCAAAGTTAGGCTGAATCTCAAAGATTTGAAGAGAGAAATAGCATGAAAATTGGGAAGAAAAAATATCAAAGCAAACATCACAGTGAAGTAAGAAGAGAGAGAATGAAATACGGACCAGAGAGTATAGGGTCCTATCTAGGATACATTACACGTGTTTCATACAGTACACGTGTCTCACAATGGTGTTGTACATTGCCTGAACTTCAATGTACAATTTAAACAACAACTATGTAGTGTTGCGTTCGTCCCTCTTGTTCGCTTATAAAATATAATAATATAGTAATATCAATTTTCAGATTACATTCAATATGTTATTATTGTTGTAGTGATATGTTACTTAGATTAGATGTATATTTATAAATCTAGAATAAAACTAATAAAAAGAAAAATATTACATAGAAAAAAAATCACATCATAATAAATCCGTAAAACTAACGTACAGCTTCATAACATTTTTAATATAATCTCAAATTATTTTAAAAAAAGCATCAAACGTTTAATTTTTCTTGTATTTTTTTTATATTTGTTTCTCAATTTATTATGTAAATATACTTTCTCTCTCTTGTTACTTGTTAATGATGACATTCTAGCTTTAAAATAAATAAATTACTCACTTATCCACGTGTAAAAAAAGTTAATGGAACCTCTCACACCTTTTAATTTGTTGATTGTGCCTCTACGATGATAATTTTTTTTGGTAAATTATTATTAGATTGATAACTAAAAGAAACTAAAATTGAAGAATATTTAAGTGTAGTTTGAGGAGCCGCAGTTGTCAGTTGACTTGATGCAGTCCAACTGGGCACCTTCAACTTATCAATCTTTTTCACCTTTTCAATTTTCTCAGCCGCCAACTTGCTTTCGAGACTTAAAAATATTATGCTAAATTTTGTATTTTTTTTTAGTAAAAGAAAAATTCAATTATGGCAAGAAAATCAAGACAAATATTAAGATAATCAATTTTTAATACATGTAGGAGTCGTTTGATAGGCGGTATTAATTAAAATAATTTTTAGATTAAAATTTAGTCCGCCCAATACAATGTTTGATTGCACAATTCAACTCAAACACACCTAATACATGAATAACTTAATACATCATATGTGGTCTTATCTAATACCAAATATTTGTAATACTTGAAAAAGGAAACAAAATGACTGAATTGTAAAATATATTGAGGAAAAACAACGAGTTGTGTACCTTATACTTGCAGCGGATGTCCTTGATTTGCTACCAAAAACAAATTGCTCCACAGTCACACTTTGAATCACTAGGAAACAAAGACTACGTTTCAAAAACTAAATGTCAATTTTGTTTGTTGATTTTCTTCTGAAGAAAGAAAGTATTTTCTTGTTTTTTCAGTCTTATTTTCTCTGTTCACTTTTTCTTACCCTCTCCTTTTTCATAGAGAAGCATTAGATAAAGCCATAAAAAAAAGAGTTTCTTTACGTTGGAGCAGTTACTCTAATTCTTCTTTCATCCCTTTTAGGGCTCGTTGGAGCAGTTACTTTGTACCATTCCGGTCCGTTTCGATCCGATAGTCTTCGGGACGGAATGGAACACCGTGAATCGGTACTCGGAACAGAACGGTATCACGATTTGATATCGGTGTATCAATATCGGTTCATCCCGGTTATTTCGATTCCGATCCGGTCCGATTCGGTCCGATTAATTATTTTTTATTAATTAATTTATATTTTATAATTTATATATAGGCATTTTTTTAAATAAATAAATAAAATTGGATTGGATTGATATTTTTTATTTTGTGTCATTGTTTTATCCTTATTTTTATTTAATTTTTTAAATTACAAACATAAGTTATTTAAATTATAAGTATAACTTATAGCATATTAATAAGTAATAACTTATAAACTTCAAAAGATTCAAAATTTCAAATCTTGAAAACTTAAGCTCAAAAACTTTATCAAACTTAAAATTGCAAATTTAATAAGTAAATTTTTTAAAAAAATATCTTTTAAATAAACTTAAGTAAAATTACATTATAAATTTCAAAACAATTAATTTAAACTTAGAAAAATAAACAAACAATCATATTTTCATAATTCAAAAAATCAAAATAACTAAAAAAAATTATTATTTTTTGAAATAGCCATGTGTCATCCCGTTTATCCCATTCCGATCTGTTCTGATTTCATTCCGGTCCGGTCTGGTTCAATTCCGGTATATAGTGGGGTGGGACGGAACCTAGTATCCATCCCGATAATTTCGGTCCGGTTCATTCCGGTACTGATCAACAAATCGGTTAACCCGTCCCGTTTCGATCCGATACCGATCCAGTGGTTCCAGTCCGATCCGGTGTCGTGCCCAACCTTAGTTTAGGTGTACCTTTTCTTGTACTCTTACGTATTTGAAGTTCAGATTCCTCTGTAGGATTTTGGGATTCATAACTCCCACTTGGACTAAGAATCATTTCTCGATCCATTGAATTATGAAGTATGTCTGACAACATTACCTGATCTTCTTAATTCAACATTTCGTAGAGAGACTCAACTTCATCTATTTCATCTTTTTTGGAAAAATCATTTTCCAAAAATCTGACATATCGTGATATAAGTTCAGTAATACTTCCATCCTCCAGTTTATCGATGAACACATACACTTTTGAGCGTTCAAAATATCTTATAAAGATACATTTCTTTCTTTTTGGACTTAGTTTACCAAACTCACCAAAACAATCTTTAATGTATGTTGCACAACCCCATGATCGTAGATCATCCAGGTTTGTTTTATGACTAGTCCAAAGTTCATAAAGAGTGAAAGACACTGATTTAGAAGGCACTTTGTTCAATATGTAAGCTGCAGCTAATAATGCATTTCCCTAGGAAGAGATAGACAAATTTGCCTTCGTCATCATTGATTTTGTCATGTCCAACAATATTCTATTCCTTCTTTTAGCTACACCATTTTGTTGAGGTGTATAAGGAATAGTTAACTGTCTGATAATACCATATATTTCAGTACATAATTCTTCAAATTATTTTGACAAATATTCACGTCCTCGATCGATTTTTAAAGCTTTTATGTTTTTATCTGATTAATTTTCAACTTCATTCATATATCTTTTAAAGCACTCAGGTTCTTCAGATTTATGAGAAATCAAATAGACATAACTAAAGCGCATGAAATCATCAATAAATGTAATGAAGTATTGATGTATTGAAGAATGCTTTGGTAATTTTCCTACGATGAATTCGTTTTGTTTGTTGTTTAATTTTTTTAAAAAAATTGTATAAAATATTATAAATCACAATACTTATTTACTTAGATATTCAAAAGATATAAAAATATGTAGAAGATCTGATTAACTCTTCAAATTTTATTGGTGACACATAAATTGGACAAATGAAATAATATATATTATTTGAAAATTACTTACAAGTACAATAATTTACAGTAATTAACAATAGAATATTTAAAGACAAAAAAACTTGATTGAATCTCAAAATTTTATTAGTACCACATAAATTGAGAAAGAAGAAATAACCTTTATTATTTGAAAATTGCGTAAAAGATATTACAAATCATACAACAATAATTAGCAATTTAGAATGTTAAAAGACATAAATTTTTTTTTGCCATAATTAACAATAATTAAAAATTTAACTATTTTAAATTAATATTAAAATTTGATTAATTCTTTAATTTTGTCTTTGTCACATAAATCAAAATAAAAAATGATACATATCGAGCCCGTGCTAGCACGGGTTCCGATGTCTAGTATATATATATATATATATATATATTTTAGTCTATTTAAAAAAATAACATTATCTTTTAATAATGAGAAATAATTTAATTTTAAAATTTCACCTTTATTCTCAATGAAACAATTTATAGTCATAAAAATAGCCAAAGAGAATTTTATACATAAATTTCACAAGTCTTGCTATATTTTCTCTTAAATTTTGTGTCAAGTCAAACGGTTGTTAAATAAATTTGCATGGAGGGAGTACCAGGTATGTCCTGAAATATGTACCACTTTAGTAAAAATCACGTCCATTAGAAAATCAATAAATAATACTCCCTCCGTTTCATTTTATGTTGCACCATTTGACTTGACACGATGTTTAAGAAAAAAAGAAAGACTTTTGATATTTGTTCTTATTTCGTAATTTGTGAATAAGAAACGTCAATGATACTGTTTAACCAATTCAATAGCACGTGGTTGCGTTTCATTCTACATAGGCAGTAGACCACAGGCAGAGCTCAGCGTAGTGCCATCGTCAGCATATCTCTTGTTCAAATCAGAAAAGATTGCAAAAAGACCAAGTTGTATCCAAACACATTCTTTTATGATAACTACTATGGTGTGGTGTTTGGATCCGTCAAAAATATCTTTTCAGTTAAATAGAAAATCGAATCATTAAAAATGGCTAATCAAAAATCAATAACAAGTATTTTATCCCTTAAAAAATACTCGTTTTCTTTTTAATCTGTCCTTTTTTGGCAGTACTTTAACTTCAACTTTTCAAATGAAATGTTTCAGGTCATAAAATTAAACGATATTTTGATATATTTAACATAACTTTAATTTAAAATCACAAAATTAATTTCTTTTTTTCTTAAACTCGTTCCAAGTCAAACTAGGCAATTATTTTTGAAACGGAGGAGTATGAATTTAGCACCAACCAACGGAGGTGAAGCAAACCCATAAAAGCAACCTTCCATCTTCCACACAGTTCTAATTTAGTTTCCCTAGATAAGAAGTATATAAGGCTACCAAAACTGATTAACCTACACTGTAACCTACCATTATTATTAATTGGTTTTTTATTTTCTAGTGGAGTACCCCATAATTATTTATAGCTGTAAAACAATAAACACTTCAAATTCCTCTGTTTTTACAGTTTGAAGAATCCATCTGTTTTCTTTATTCAAGTTTGTGTATTTTGAGTTAGGTGCAATATGGATTCAGGCGATGGGTCCTCTGTTCCAAGGAGGAGGACTAGACAACAATTTTTAAAATATTGTCTCGAGTTTATTGAGGAGAGGAACAAGTCGACTCAAGATGGTACCACTAGGAGGAAAACAACTAAGTTGGAAGAAAAAAACACATGTATTGTGGGAGGTGAGAAGCCAAAAACGGGTAAAAAGAAGGTGGACAGTGGTAAGAGGAACAAGTCGACTCAAAATGGTAACACTAGGAGGAAAATAATTAAGTTTGAAGAAAACAACACATGTTTTGGGGGAGGTGAGAAGTCAAAAATGGGAAAAAAGGTGGATAGTGGTAAGAAGAAGTTCACTTGTGAGTCCATCCAGGAAATATCTGATTCTGATGATGTTGTTATTATTGGAGATGGCTCTGCAGACTCTAGTGGTTCAGGATCTTCGTCCAATGTTGGGTTAAGGGCAATAGAAGATGTTAGTTCATCAGAGGAGCCCATTGATGTTGAGAAATTGAAGGACTTTGTTGATCCTTTAAAATCACAACAAGATGAGTTTACTGAAATAACTGAATCTGAAGCTTCAAGTGACGAGGACAAGTAATAATAAGTTGGAAAAAAGGTGATGTCACTTACATTAAATTTTTTATTCTCCTCCTACTATAATTTATTTAATAGTAATTCTTTTTGTTTGTTTTGGTCAGGGAGGAGGAGGTTGAGTTTGTTGTTCTACCATGGTGTTGGCTTTCCGCCAAATTAAGTCCCAACTTTTGTGAGCTCTCTCTTGCCTGTTTTTTGGTCTACCTACCTATCTCTCTACATTATGGATCAACTCGGATTAATTAATACTTGGGTATTGCAGTATTTTCATTTTCATCGTCACAAACAATATTGTAATATCCTACTCCCAAGTGATCTTAATTTTGAGGTTTTAAATGAATATTCACCTCTCTATTTTCTTGGTCCCTTGATTGTTCTAGAGGAGTCCGAACTCTTTTTTCTAAAATAACCATTATATCAATTGACACATTTGGATAACAAAAATATCACTCATACATTCTACAACTCAAACTTGTAACAAAAATATCAGTGATAGCTAAATCGAAGACTCACATACAACAGTAACAATTTAGCTTCTGTAGAAAGTAATGAAATTTCACTTTCAATCATAGACAAGGTCCATCTATTTACACAAAACCATGCACGGCAAAATTGACAACTTTGAGTGCCCATGCTAATGTTGCAATGCAATCAGTACACTGAAGAATTACAGTACCATGAACAAAGCGGTTCAGAAAAAAACTATGAAATCAAGTTACCTGCAGATTATTGCGCCAAATCGTGACCAGCTCCTCAAACACGGCAACGAACTTTACTAGCATGTCATATTGTCTTGTCCTCTACCCTGGCAATATGTGATCTAAACTATAAAAGATGATTTGAAAAATTCAATTCTTCTATAAGAAATGAGCAAACTGCACGAACAAGAGAAATGCATTGATTATTGCTTATGCAACAACAAATGACTCACAGGAAAACTGGACACATCTAATTCAGAGTAGTATCCCACAAATTCTCCTAATTCAGAACAATTAGAATCTCGGAAGTATCGGAACAATTTCCGTGCTTATAATGGCCAACGTTTTCTGCCAAACATGCCAGAGTGTTGTGGCTCTCAACTGCAAACACGTCGGATCAGACTGGTGGGGTGCCATAGCAATGTTCTCACCCAAATGGCTATCAAGTGTGTCCAGCAAATTAAAGGAGCTTGGATTCCGCTGGAAGAACTTGAGTGTCTTGTCTGAGACACGCATTGAAAAATTCTTATCGAGGTCTAGCATACGCTACATCAAGAAGTTTCGTGAAGGCATTGTCGTATGCATCTGAAATAAGAACCATGATTTTAGACTTGTGAATACACTGATATGCTAGTGTGGAATGGTCATAAGCTCTGAATATAGAGAAGTAAGATTGAAAGCCTCTTCAAACTCTAATGTAAAAAACAAGAGATTTTTCTGCAAATTTCATTGTTGGTATCGCATGAAACACATTAAATGAGAGACACAACTGAAGACTGCTATCTAACATAAGGGTGACACCTTCGAACATTGATGGTATAAAAGAAGAAGCAATTATCGAATTCCTTGTTGTTCTCATCAAGTCAAATTGACAATGCATACCAATTGCCTCTCCTTGGGGATTTTCAGCAAACACTTTGGAAGAGTGGCATGTTTGGGACGATACTATCAAATAGTTGTTGAGAGGACTGATTCCACACGTAAGGATATCTTTCTAATATGTTAGAAAACCTGTGAGGTGCCTCGGCCACATAAGACAAGGAATCACTTGGCTGCCCAGTATCAACCCAAGCATCCACAACACTACCAAATTGAAGGGAAAAAATATCTAGTATTTGCTCAAGATCAAAATGTAGATATGAGCATGTTTTCTTATGATAATTGACCAAGAGGAAGCTTCTCACCCGAGAGTTCAAATTTGTTGTGTTGTCCGGTGACACGGGGCGGAGAAGAAGAGTTGAAATTGGTGAATTAAACATGAGAAATGGTTAATAGAATTTAAGTATACTCCCATTTGTAGACAGACACATGGACATTTAACTGGATATTCCCTAAGATTGGGGCAAAATCCTCTAGAACAAACTCTTGGTCAACACTCTTTTGTTAATCATAAGCATTATTCATTTTGGGTTGGGGTTGAGTTTATGGGACTCAATTCTCTAGTAACTAAACTGTTTTTTTATGTGCTAAAACTTGGTTTTATTTATATGGTGTTGGGTTAGTCTTTGGACATAACACAAATGATAACAAACATGAAATACTCAATTCTCTTCCAATTCACTTTACGTTTAAATTTTGAATTCCTCTAAAACTTATAACTAGTTGTGGGATCTGGTATTTCCATGATGGTGGAGAGGGAGAAAAGAATATTATTTACTTCCTCCAATTATATTTTTTTAACAACCCTTTGAAGACATATATCTCAAACAATTTTGATCATTTGTTTCCATAAATGCAAAGGCAGTGGAAGAAATGGATGTTAAGAATGAATCATCTGGCATGTAAAGCTTCAAAAGCCTTTTTTCAATCCAATTCATGAAATCCTTCTACTGAAAACAATAATGTTATTAGGAATTCTGTAAAAACAAAATGTATTATTTATCATTTAATTTCTTAACCATTGTTATTAAACTAGAAGGAACATTGTCAAAGTTGTGGTGTAAAACTGAAAATCATATCGAACCATATCAAAATGCTCGAGGCTTCTGGGTATTAGAGCATCACAAATCAGTTCAGACATTAGTTAGTAGTTTAATCGCTATTAGTGTTTCAATAGTCCTTGCTTATTTGAGATTTTCCATTACTATATTAGTCGTCATTATTCATTTAGATTACTTTAGTTTAGTTCTTTTAGGAGTCTTATTATTTCTCCATAAGTCTATTTAATATATTTCTTGCATTCATTAATAAAGTATCATCTTCCGGCAAATATTCAGTCTTTACACTTAGGTCACTATTATATTATTATTATTATTACACTAAATATCAGTTTCTATCTGTGAGTGCACTATGTCATTCAAAATGAAAACACCTAGCTATAGGCTAAAGAAACACTCCTAACAAATCAAAACAATTGAGCATTCTAATTATATGTGAAAAATATCTCTTGTGCACATCATTTTGCTTAATAAGATAATTTATCTCTACGATGTGCAAAAGATACAAGTACACCCACGGCTTGTTAGCCAACCTTGGCTATTCCAAAAAAAAAATAGCAAGGAGGTATTTTGAAGTACCTTCAAAAAGCTAGTAAAAGCCAATCAGTTGTTATAGGGCTGCAAAAATGAAATTAGGGAGCTTTAAAACAAAAGATGCATCTGTCTTACTTAGGAAAAAAATTGACAGAGAGAATGTGCAAATTTGTAGATAACTTCAGATAAATGAAATAGTTGACAACTTCAAACGAATGAAATATCAGAAATTAGTAGAAATTGTGTCAGCATCTCAACTGTTTGGTTTGTTATGAAGTGATCAAGTAAACTTAAAGTATCAATTTTTTTTGTAGATAACAATAACCAATCGTCCATGTACGAATCAAATATTATAGATATAGGCTATAATACTCATAGAATTTGATTACTCTTATTAGATTTTCTCCCCACTCTTCACAAATACAAGTTTACCCATTTCTATGTTCAACTAAAATAGTGAGCAAGATGCAAAACAACAAAAATCATACTATAGTTCTTGGCCATCACCATTTGGTACACATTAATTATCATAGCATATGTACCATAAATGTTTTTAGTGAAAGATAAATATACCCATACAATTCAGGTTCTTCTATTACTTGCATTGAAGTACCAGAAGGTAGAGGAGAGATCTATCTGAAGTTTTTCTACCTTCAAAGCTTCTTATGTTTCTCTCCTCTTCTTTCTCAAATAGGCTATCTTGTCTAAGCATAATCTTTATTCAAACTTTGCAGCTCAACATATACATTTTGCTTATGATTTTTTTCGATAGTTCTGACCCTTCTATGAAAGGTGTACACACACACACGTAAAACATAACTTTTTTAAAGATAAAAACCTTGTGTGTTCACTTGTATATCTATATAAAAACAGATAATTTTAGCATACATCATACTAACCTTGTATGAAAATTGAGGAAGAGTCTCACATCTTGAGCACTCTTTCTTGTGACATTGTTGTACTAACTGGGCTAAAAGATCAAGATTTTCAGAAAGACCATGTCTCACCATACGAACAACGTTCTTTATTATTTTTGTATAAAATGTTTCTTTTCTTACTTTAGAAGACCTGGCTTTCTGATTTTCTAATAGCTAATATCTGAACCTGGATTATAAAGCGGTCATCACAAAATCACAAGACAATCAAACACCAGAAGAAAATAAACATAAGAGAAATTATTTGTAAGTTCATGAATAATGTCGTAATGTAATAGCTCTTCAGAATAATACGACAGTGTAATAGCATTTCACTTCCCAAATTTTAAATCATACCTATCAATTGGCATCTCCAAAATTGCAAAAAGAAAGATAGTAAAAGTAAAAAATAAAGAACAAAACATGTACAAAAATACACTTCCAATGATTTATTTTGGAACAAAGAGGAAAGACCATATACAATTAGTTAACCAAAAAAATGAAGCTTTAGCTGTTTAAAATTTTAGACAGTAAAAAAGACAGAGCAGATATTGGAAGCAGAGGGGAAAAGTTCACATACAACATCCTATTACTTAGTAGGAACTTATGGCCTTTAAGCAAAGTCCAACTATTAGTTACCTTATTTAATTTGCCATTTTATTATTATTATTATTATTTAGTATCATTATAACTGCTTTGACTAAATAAGGATTTTAATAATATGTCTTTAGTCCAAAGTGGGGGAAGAAGAGAAGCAGACATAATAGACATATCTGTTGTTATTCTCCAAATTAGCAAAAGAGAAAATCCCAAGAGTTATTCTGAGAATCCTCAATTACATCTAAAAATATGAGTATTAGACAACGTTAAGCTCAAGATTACACACTGAGAAGGGAAAAAAGCAATTGAAAAACTGCCCAACGAAAAGATTCTGAATACTCATATCTCATAAGTAGGTTGTTATGGGGAGATTTCATCAAACACCTTGGTTGTGTAAAGTTCTTCCTTCAGATTCAGATCTCATAAAAGCATTTGAACACACATTCAAAATGCAAGTATAAAGTCTACCAATAAAACATGAAGAGAAAAATTCAATATGAATAAATATTATCCAAAAACGTCAAAATAAAATGAAAAATGTATAAAGCCTAGAGAACTTAAGAAGTAAAATATGGCTATGAAATCGAGCAAAATCAAAGGTCGGTAATCCCTCTCAAGTAGAGACTCTTCTTAAAAAAAATTAGGGACCACATTCTCCATCAACTTTTTGAACAAACGTAAGCAATTTCTTGTTCTTTTGGATCAACAAAAGGCAGATAAATCACTGACCTTTTTATGAAGAACATATTTAAATATCTTATAACCAGAAAAAGCAATACACATAACTGAAAAAGTCACATTAGTTGAAAATCGAGAAAAAAAGATCAACCTTTCTTACAAGGTTGTTGTAGTTCTCCCAGCTATTGCTAAGAAAAGCGGATTTTGCACCTCACAGACCAGCTTTGTGCAGCCTGTTGGTGGATGGTCATGAGGACTATGCTACTACTTTTAGAGACATCTTTCCCTTTTCAACAATGTTAAAAGCACTTGATAATGAAGATCACATATAAGTTTGTCAAGAAACAACAGAGATCCAGAACACTCCCTTTCTTCTTTTATCTCCTATATATTGCGTTGGCTTGTGCATAGAAATATACATTTTGCATTATCAAGTTAAGGAAAAAAATAAATGTAATAACTTTGAAACTAATGTTATAACCTTTAAAACGGGCTATATAACTTACCTCCTCTGGTTGATAGTAGGACTTTTTTGGGGTGCGGGGACGAAAAATGAAGAAAGTAGTGAAAAATTACAGAAATAGTATTTTTAGTTCACCTGTTTCTCCAAGTGATGGTTATTAAAAAAAAGTGTCGAACACATGCTATTACTTCAATCGATTATTCTCACTTTAAGTGTTGTTGTGTCATTCTTCTATGGTCTTATCATAGCAGACAGTAATATAGATGTAAGCTTTATTTTCCAGGATCATTGTAGATTCCAAGTATATTGGGATTCATATTAGGTGTACTCCAAATGACGCTCTCCGTAATATACACCACATCAAATACTGAAAAACACACAAAATTCATTATTGTAATTTTTGGTTTCCATTTAACAGCGGTAAGAAACTGAAATACAACAAGATTATGTTGCTGTCGAGATAGAGGCACAAAAAAAGTTATTATCCCACTCATCCAAATCAACATTGAATTTCATATGTGACAACAAATAGGAAAATTATTCTATCACCAAAAGTTGAAAAAAAGAATGTATGTGTATCCAACCACCAACAAACAAATCACCTTTGTCAAATTAATAAGAAATTAAAAAAAGAAGAAGCAGAAACTCTTGTTTAGTAAACACAGAATTGTCAGTGTCTTCTCTATCATAACAAGGCAATAAAAATGAAGTTGTCAAAAAAAAAGATGAATATCAAACCAATGAAATATAAATATGTACAAAAATCAACTAATCCCATATGGTTAAGGAAAACACGTGTTTTGAAATAACTCGAAAGGAAGCCCCCAAGGCCTAGCTCAAGTGGCAAAAGGTGGAGGATTTGTGGCTTAGGTCGCAGGTTCAAGCCCCACACCATGCAAAGCGAAGCCCGGTATTTAAGTGGAGAAGGGTAGAGGGGCGGGCCCATTATCCACCGAGTTTAGAAGGCTGTGATTGGTCCAAAGGGCGGGTCACAGATGGATTTCTCGGTTATCAAAAAAAAAAAAAAAAAACTCGAAAGGAAATGACACATTACTTCACATGTAAATCACTCATTAGTAAGCACAACAACAACAACCTTACACAACAATATAATCAATTATTGTCACAAGTACCGAAATTTTCAAGAGATGGTTGTAGCTACCAGACAATGTGAAAATATAGTGCAATGTCGGTAATGTAAGGTACATCAATCAAATTACAAGGTCTCTCTTTAATAAGATTTCCACCATTAGCTAAAGGCATTGTTTTTGCAATTTGATTGCCTGGTCATCATTTCAGCGACAATTTCATCGCAAGAAATAAAAAATTTTGCAAAAATATAATAGAGGGGACATGTATTTTGATAAATTTAGCTACAATGAAATGGTATCAATTACAAGTGACTTTGAAAAAAAATGGGTGGACTGACCTCTTCCAACTGTCGACTTTGATGAACTAAGCATCCAATTCAAATAGCTAATTTGAGAACTTGCAAACATGTGCACTTCTAGTCTTCTCTACAAGAATTCATAGGCAATTTGGCAGGCGACATCAACAAACCTGAAAACCCAAGCAACAAGTTTTTTTGCAAAGATTTGAGCTTTTATCCATTTGCCTTCATGGACCGCAACACAAAAGCGAAGAAGAACGTTCTTTTCTATATTATAGAAGTGAACAGATGGTTCAGTTACAAAAAGCTGTATCCTCCGCAGTATTGCAAGTATCTTAGGATTAAGTAGAATGAGTTGCAAACTTAAAGAGCAGATAATAAGATAAAAAAGTGGGGAAAAGACACTAAATGGGATGTTGTGCAACTCAGGCATAATGTATATATCTAGCAGGAGATTATCTGAAAGACTAAAAAACTAAAATTAAAGCAAAAAGGCACAAATATTCAAAGAATTCAGAAGTAATGGGTGTAATACCAGTGAAGAAAGGGCAAAAAATTCTGGGCACCATCGTGCATGAGAGCATATGTCTTTTGTGGTATAACAAAGCCACAATTTCTTCAATTCAGCATCTCCAATAATGAGCAAAGCTTAACATTCTCTGATAACAAATGAAAACGAACTCCTAAAATCTCAATATAACAGGCTCCATCTTGAAATTTAGAATCATGATCAAATGAAACTAACAGAGTTCCCTATTGAATTTTAATTAGTCCCGAGGCATCTAAAGGTAGAACATGCGAGTAAAAATATTCACAACAAACTAATAAGAAATCAGAAAATCGCCAAAAATTTGGATTCAAAATTTCCAACAGAAACTACATTCGTATAGATGAAAATTAGGAAATACAGAGACGAGAAAAATAAGACAACAAAAATCTTTCAAAGAAAAAATCAGAAACTTTACCTTTACCTTTAGATGTAGAAAGAGAGTGAATTGGAAGAGACATGAGATAGAATTGGAGAGCAGTAATTGTTAAGGCAATTGATCTCACTTTACATTCACACGTGGAGACTAAGGGTGTGTTTGGCACGAAGAAAAATGTTTTCCTACAAAATATTTTTCTATAGATTTTTGAATTATTTTTTAATGTTTGGTTGATGAGTAGAAAATATTTTTCAAAAAAGATTTTTTAGTGTTTGATTTATAAATGAAAAATATTTTGAGAAAATATTTTTTATATTTACTGGAGAGCTAAAATAATTTTTGAAATTGAAATTGAAAATATTTTTTAAAAATAAACTTAATTTTTTTGGGGGGAGGGGTGGGGCTGGTGTAGGGGGATAGGGATGAGATGGGGTAAAATAAAATAAAATTTAAAATTTAAAATATTTTTTAAAAACAAACTTATTTTTTTTC